TTTCGGTTCTTCCGGTATCTCGGATTTATTACGCCGAAGCTCCCATTCTAGATGGTGTGACCGAGATTACAGATTTCATCCATTGTAATCTTGTAAAATTTACTTTCAGGTATTCTTGCAAATTTTCATCATTAGCATATTATAATGCCCATGCTATTACCTTATTTGTGTTAAATAAATACTTTTATTTAGTGTGATGATTATTTGATGGCCTCAAAAATTATAAATTGCTAAATTATCTTTCATGATCCAATAGAATCCAATATATAAAATCTTAAAGTTATTAGACAGATCTAAAATGCTACAAATAAGAAGACTTGTTATTTTTTTATTATTATTATTAAAATATTCAACAATTCAAAAATCTAGTATAATACTGTAGTTTTAAATTTCTATCAATAAACTGTGTTATAATTTATTATGATCTAAATCTATTACTAAAGCATATCGCTTATATACTATATCTCTAATGATAAAACAACAAATGTAATTATCTATTGAGTTGTTGAAAATGTGCCCGAGGTAATATAGATCTATAATTTTTTTGAATTGATTCATCATTTGAATTCTTATTTGAATTAACCTTTTGAGCTTGTGGTATATTTGATTCTTGAGATACGGCAGGTCTAATAAAATAAACATATATATTAAAAAAAAATAATAAATTCTTTAAAACTATAGAAAGATCATTTAACTTTAATCCTTACTGCTGAGCAAATTCTCCTGAATCTGCTATGAATTTACAGGTAACAGTGCCGCATTGAAAAATATGGTCATTTTCTTTTAATTCTATTTGTGTCCAACTAAAGCTAACACTATATGAACTCTCATTATTCATAAATAAAACATAACCTATGGTTTTTAATTTTGGATCTTGTTGCATGTTTCAGTTATCATGATTGACTAGTTGTTTCAATCTTTGTTCACCAGCCTGCCCTGAAAAAAACAAAAATATTTTTGTTGCACAGGACTATATCGGAAAAAAGGTTCATTTTCAAAAAGAAAAATGAATATATTTTCTGGAAAAGCATGAATTAAAACTTGTTTTGTACCTATTGAATGCCTATTAAAGCCAAGATATTTTTTAACAAGAACTATAAATGTATCTTGGTAAAACATGATTTGTTCAAAGAGCGGTTGAATAAGTAAGGTATGATTTTGTTATTTCAATGCTTAATTCTTTCATGAGTCACAAGCTTTTTTCGAGAAAAAAAAATCTCCTGACAAAGTTGGCATTTACTAGCCATTGCGCGATTTGAATTCGATATTTTTTTGTTACCAGTATTTAAGCAATTTTAAATTCTGATGATATAATCGAATAAAATCGTATGATTGGTTAATGATCATATTTTGATCATTATATGTGACAAAATCGAATTATGTGACATAACAAATGGAAACAAATCTGCCCATATGCTGAAATACTTAAAAAGTTGGGTGGAGCTATCCCACTCCAGGACTCTCTATGATTTTGACTTTAAAAATATCAAAATATCGTTATATATATCTATTTAAATACCTTACTAGGCTTCTGTCCAAATCTAGCTCTGACCGTTTATTTGTTATAATGAATTTTTACCAATTTTATGAGATCGAAGATTGAATATATACAAATATTGTAGAATATTATCATGCAAACTTAGGGTATAAAATTTGGGTAAAGGTACTTGACAAAATAAAGAAAGATCTTAAAATTATAACATCATCAGATTCAAACTTTGACACAAGGCGCAAAAAAAAGCTCAGAAAATTATAAACAACTAGAAGGTATAAGAATATTGAATACGTATTGAGTAATTTTGAAAAAACTAAATTTGAATATTAATTTACACTCAAGAATTAATTGAGCGCAAGCTGTGACTGCTAGTTTACAGTAATAAACTGCTAGTTTGACGCTGAAGTACAAGCTGTGACTGCTAATCTACAGTAATAAACTGCTAGTTTGATGCTTTTTTGTTTTATACAATGTTACTTTATAGGCACATTTAGTAATTAGACCCGGGTCACCCACAGATGGGCGGGTGGAGTTTTGGCCACCCGGGTGGAAATAGGTGACTCGTGAACAATATTTGCAGGACTTTACTAAACTTCAATCCAAATATGCACTTGTATGTATATTACAGTCAGATCTCTCTTAATGCATAGCCATGGGCGGCCAAAAAATCTTGCATTTAGAGAGGTATTGTATTTAGGGAGGTAAAAATCTATAAATATTATATGAGTTGGGACTATGCAAAGCCAAGCATTTAGAGAGACTATGCATTTAGAAAATATGCATTTAGGGAAAAAAAAACTTTTCAAAATGAGGTTTATATTAGACTAAAGGTATTACCATTGATAAAGGTTGCTCAAGAATTACTTTTACGTTTTTTATATATTAAGCATAATAAACAATAAATTCATAGTAAATTTCTACCCGATTCAAAAAAAGTTACTGCGTATCTTATTTTAATGCTAAGACTTTAAAACAAACTATATACCAAGTATATAACTATTACTGGGAAATATATTTGTATATACAAATATGCGTAATAACAAAGGACATCTATTTTTACCTGGGTAGTTTATGAGTCCATCTGCTGGTGACTCGGGTGGTATTTTTTGACAGATCCAATCATTAGGCACATTTTCATTTTAGCTCGTTTTAAATAAAAATTATAAATTTGCTTTAAAATTTCAAGAAATTAATTTTTTTTAATAGATAGAACAGAAGGTGCTTGCAGCCAGGAATACTGTGTCTGTCGATAATTATTATGTAATCGAAAAACATCAGCAAGATGGTAGAAAGAAAATATCAAATGAAAACAATGTAATTCCATTAATGTGGAGTAAGAAAGTGAGACTATTTACTTACTTAATGCCCCGGAAAAAAAAAGAAGCCTATTAATTATTTGCTGACTCCTTTGCAATTAGACATTTCAGAAAGTAATATTAGTTCTAATTGTAGCAGATATTTCAGTAAATATCTAAGATCTTGAGGCATTTATTAATATGACTAATTATTAATAATACTACTGTTGAACCTCCCAAACCCAGTACGCATAGTGAACAGATTTTGTATCAGTATTGAGAAGTTATCAGATTTGAAACTATTATAAACTATTAAATTTATATAACATAAATAGACTTGGTAGACTAATTTTTTATCAGATTTGACAGGTTATCAATTTTGAGAGGATCGATTTTGGGAGGTTCAATAGTATTTAATATTTTTTTTTTTTTTTTTTGGTATTAAGGTGACCTCTACGGCCGGGGACTTTTTATTAACTTATTAACTTCGGGTTA